CTACATTCCCTTGACTACACACCACAAGCCATTACAACAGAACATGACAAAACCCGAACACTACGTACCCACACATCATTCACCTCGCTTAGACACGGGGGTGCGGACACCAGGAAAGGACTCTTCTGTATTAACATAACCCTCTTCTTCTTTCCTTTCTTCTTTCTATACCACTCCCTCCCTCCTGATAAACTAGTCTATGACTTGGGAACATAAACACCATACCTGATGAATAAAAGCGATATATATATATACATATACAGGAGGTCAGGCACCGAACGTGGAACATAAACCACATATATATGTAGGGGTACGGCCTGAGACTGACCATCGGGTAAAAACTCACATGCTGTATCTGCACAAGCCGAATATACACCAGTTATGCCTTATACCACTATAATCAAGCATTGTCTCACAGTCACATGAACTGTACATTGTAATAAACTGACAAATACCCTGTGTTATAAGTTGCCACAATATTTTTCATGGAGGCCTGCGAGCCTCGTTTTCGGATTTCTTACTGCTTATTCTTCAATAAAATAAGATTTGCAAAAAAACACCTGCCGTTGTGTAGGTGTAGAGGAAAGCCACAAAGCTTCCTCCCATTTTCCAAAAGTTTGGCAGAGAGTCCATAGCCTGGCATTGGACCATTGCATACAAAACTGATAGCCCATGATCTATGGCAGGGCTGTCCAATGAGTCTAAAAGGGACACAGTGTATCTGGTTCAGTGTTTGATGAGTGCAGTGTGTATCAGGGTTGCAATGTGTGTGAGGGGTGCAATAACTTTGCCTGTGGTCCTCGAATAAATCTAGTTTTTAATGCATCCCTCGGATTACCCAAGGTTGGACAGCGTCAGAACACAGTAATTTGAATAAAGTCATGAAGCAATAAATGGAAATGCATAATAGAATTCAAGAAGGTGATTAGTTGCCTATACCTGAACTGCATCATGAGTGTAGACTCCGGGCACCCCATTAAGGCAGACAAGATTGGACCTGACCATCCTGTATCAAGTGGTGCACCTGGGGCAATGGGTATCTCATGAGTTGTTGAAAACTCCTGACTTTGAGCCCTGGTGAAAAGGCTGTTTTTTGCCCAAAAGGAAGCAAAGGGGAAGGAGCTCCCATTTGAGTGCTATGGCCCACCACACTTGCAAAGTGGCTGGGTATATTAGATGAGGTGCTGCTTATTTTAAATCCATCCAGATCAGGCCAGGGGTATGGTCCAAAAAGGGTGAGCATAAATAATGGATAGAGGTAGATGCCACACAGGTGTGGCTTCTACCTCTATCCATAATTTATGCACACCCTCTTTGTACCATTCTACAATTCATAACAGGTGTTGTAACGGATCTCCTTCCGTTAATGGACGCTTCCTAGCTTGCGCCGAGGACCACAAGCCCCACACTGGACACCACAACCACCGCAGACTCCACAACCGCTGTAGCTTAACTGAAGCCTCGCCGTCTTCCGTCCACCCTGGACCAGCTTCTGTCCTCCAGGACTGTGTGGGGAAGACCTCTCCTCCAGGAGAGCGTATCAGGAACAAGCTCTTAAAAGAGCTAAGTGAGTCAAGCTCAGGGGAGAATGCAGAGCATAGCAATCCCCAGTGTGATTATAGCAGTTCCCTCCAATAACGAGACAAGGCTACGTATTGAGGGTCAAACAGGATCTCATTTACTTGGCACCAAGGGCCTTCTTTTATGCAGGTTTATAGGACATAGGACCACCCACAGGGTTTTACAGAACAATCAATAACACACGTACATTACAGAAAACACTCCCAGCAATTACACACAAAATCCTCCCCTCTGCCTGTGATCTAATTATGGTACACAATGGGTTAACATAATTATCACAAGCAGGAAAAATACAGTTTTTATACATGTACTGTAACTTTAAAACCACACATCTAATCTTCATAAACCACATATTATTAATCAGCATACTTGAAATATGAACAGACTCAAAAATCATGCAGATCTTTTCATTAGTTCAAAAGTTAGTCGGAAGTCCTTTGTGACCTTCTCTGCCCAAAACAGTTCCATAAAGTCCCATTTGAACATGCGTTCGAATCTTTGAACGGGACTTAGTTTCTGTGGCTGAAAACTCAGTGCAGGAGAAGGTAAGGGTCAGCGGTGTTCGTTGATATGTGTAGCCGATTTCAGTTCCATGGATTTGGCTACACATACCGCTGACCTTGTTCGAATGAACAAAGATGGCCACCGACACGTGTTCGGTATTCGAATGGCGGCCACTTCGACTGCTTCAATGACTTCGACTGAATCCGAAGTGCCAGTTTAAAAGTACAAAATCCTTTCTTTGAGCATTAAAGGGCCAGGAACAGCAATATAAGCCTCAAGTATGCCCACATCAGTTCCTAGAAGGGCAATACATCCCAGGGCCGCAGTCGCAGGGCAGGAGGCAGGCAAGCAGGCCTCTCCAGGACAAAGTGGTGAAGGGCACTTCGTCACAGGTGTATTGCCTGATAATATCATTTGAAATCCACGAGACCCAATCCCACCACCTCCCCCCCCCCCCCAGTATTGGGCAAAGTCATAGTCCTGTAGCTAATGCATCGGTTACTCTTCTAACAAATTAATAAATTAATTTGAGACTGGAGAGACTTAAAAAAGGCATAAGATAGAACTATTGGCAGGGCTTGGAAAAGATAGAGTGCTCTGGGTAAGAGGTTCATCCAGGTGACTCTGACCCTGCCAAGAAAGGAGAGGCATGCAAATGTTAATCCCATCTTTAAAAAGCCACCTCTTGACCTTATCTCTCCTTCTACTGTCCCACATCACTACTCCCCTTCACATCTAAGCTTCTTGAGTGGGTTGTATTTATCTATCTAACTCACTTTCTAAATACTAACGCTCTCCTTGGCCCTCTTCAATCTGCCTTCTGCTCCCTCCATTTGACTGAAACTGCCCTTACCAAAGTGACTAATAGTGATGTACCGAACGGTTCGCCGGCGAACGGTTCCTGGCGAACATAGCATGTTCGCGTTCGCCACGGCGGGCGAACATATGCGCGGTTCGACCCGCCCCCTATTCGTCATCATTGAGTAAACTTTGACCCTGTACCTCACAGTCAGCAGACACATTCCAGCCAATTAGCAGCACAGCCTCCCTAGCAGACCCTCCCACCTACTGGACAGCATCCATTTTAGATTCATTCTCAAGCTGCATGCTTAGTAAGAGGAGGGAAAGTGTAGCTGCTGTTCATAAGATAGGGAAAAGCATAGCTAGGTTAGGGATAAGGGTATGCTTTTTTTTTATTTATTTTTTCTATGTAATGTAAATGCACTTAGTTGTCTGCCACTGCTGCCAGCTTCTGTGTCAGGCTCACAGTGCATACTGTGCCCATTTCCCCAGTCAGTGCCACCAATTACATCTGGTGTCACAATAGCTTGGATTTAAAAACAAAAAACTTTTTTCACTGTTATAGATTGAATAGCAGTCAGTTGTCTGCCACTGCTGCCAGCTTCTGTGTCAGGCTCACAGTGCATACTGTGCCCATTTCCCCAGTCAGTGCCACCACTTACATCTGGTGTCACAATAGCTTGGATTTAAAAACAAAAAACTTTTTTCACTGTTATAGATTGAATAGCAGTCAGTTGTCTGCCACTGCTGCCACCTTCTGTGTCAGGCTCACAGTGCATACTGTGCCCATTTCCCCAGTCAGTGCCACCAATTACATCTGGTGTCACAATAGCTTGGATTTAAAAACAAAAAACTTTTTTCACTGTTATAGATTGAATAGCAGTCAGTTGTCTGCCACTGCTGCCAGCTTCTGTGTCAGGCTCACAGTGCATACTGTGCCCATTTCCCCAGTCAGTGCCACCAATTTCATCTGGTGTCACAATAGCTTGGATTTAAAAACAAAAAACTTTTTTCACTGTTATAGATTGAATAGCAGTCAGTGTCCTTAAAGCGGGTGTGTTACGCTAACAGTGGATACGCTGACAAGTGCCACTAATTAGATCTGGTGTCACAATATTTTTGATTTAAAAAACAAAAAACTTTTTTTCACTGTTATAGATTGAATATAAAATAAAGTCCTTAAAGCCGGTGTACGCTAACAGTGGATACGACAAGTGCCAATTAATTAGATCCTGTGTCACAATAGCTTGGATTTAAAAACAAAAAACTTTTTTTACTGTTATAGATTGAATAGCAGTCAGTGTCCTTAAAGCGGGTGTGTTACGCTAACAGTGGATACGCTGACAAGTGCCACTAATTAGATCTGGTGTCACAATAGTTTGGATTTAAAAAAAAAATAATCTTTTTTCACTGTTAAGGATTGAATA